TCAAAGCATTTAATTACAGACCAGCATGAATTGAAAAAAGTTATGAAGTGTTTTTTTTAAGACCAGATTATGAATCACTGCATTTTAAACGGTTTTATATCAAAAAACCAAGATGTTTTGTTTTCAAAAAGTCTGAAAAAAATATCAACACGAGAATATTTCATACCAGGACAAGACGGCTTGCTACTTGTATTTAAAATTGCTCATTTAGAAAGAGTTGTGGGAGTACTTATTTTGGAAGACCTTAAACTCAAGTCTCAAGTTACGGCAACTGCTGCAAAAGCTAACCGATTCTTTGGGAAACTAAAAAAAACTTTTTGTAGTCGTAGTTTACCACCGTGGATTACGTAGTTTACCACCGTGGATGTACACGAGAACCAATGACTGTCAGTGAAAAGGTGCCTGATGTAGCACATCTTTGTTGATAATTTTTAAACAAAAAATAGCAAATATTGTTTTTAAATTTCTCAAAACATGAAAAATTGTTACGGATAGTTGTAAATATTTTAATTTATTGACCACTGAAATAAACTAAACTAAACTTTGTGTTGATTTAATAACAAATTTATTTCTTTGAATAGCAGACTTTACTTTTCTTTGCAGAGTTTTTTCCGGTAAACATGGTATCGTCATTTTTTTCCATAATTGACAAACTTCAATTTGAGATTTACTGATCAATAAAAGTTCCTAATATCAAGCAAATATAATTGGTTGTATGAGTTTTTAGCTCGGTCAAACCGTAATCACTTGAATTATTATTTAAAGCCAAATTAATTGTTGTTCAACGTGTTGCTTCCCATTTGCATCGTTCTTAGTTTAACAATTACGTATTAAAGAGAACCATTAGCTTTGATTTTGAGGTTTTCCTTTTAACTTCTCTTTTAACTTCCTCACTCAACTTTCTTGAGTGAGGAATTTAAAAGAGTTGTTTTTAAAAAAATATGTTTATCAAAAGATACAAAATCTCTTAGGTTGGGTTTAAGCTACAATAAATGATAGAAACCTGGCACACAAAAAATTCTAAAACTGTATAAAGTCCGCTAATATACTAACCTCTGATAAAGAAATTGGCTCTTTATAATTGTTTGTGTTTTTTGACTTGATTATCATATTGACGTCAATGGACTTACAGTGGATCAGGACCATCCCGAACGGGGGGTGTCAGGGTGTCCCCCTCCCCCAATGCTGTTATATATGCATTTGAGCTGGCACATTTATACATTTATTATTTGAGTTGTGTGTGTGTGTGTGTGTGTGTGTGTGTGTGTGTGTGTGTGTGTGTGTGTGTGTGTGTGTGTGTGTGTGTGTGTGTGTGTTTATTATAAAATTATTTTTTTTTAATTTTTATGTTGGTCAATTTTATGAGAAATATTTGTTTCTTGAAAAAGAATGATTAACTTTTGTTCGATTTTTTTTATTGATAACTGGCAATAAGTTTTTTGAATTGTTTGTTCACCGGAGGTGAGTGGAGGGGGTTAATTTTGCAAAAAAAATAAACACAGCTAAATCTAAATGAATTTTGATAAGTGTTTATATTCTAACATTAAAGAAATAAAAAGGAATATGAAATGAATTGAAATTATTTAATACTAAAGTTTTGCAAAAACAAACAAAATAAGCCACTACAAATGTATAATTTATGAAACGTCGTTTACCGTTGGAATAAATGAAGTGATTTCGCAAAACAACGTCAAAACATAATTAAAAAAAAAAAAAGCTTTTTTAAAAGTTTTTTTTCAATTAGTTTCTTGAAGATTGTAATCGAATTAAATGTTGTCAGAATGTTAAATAAAATTTTTTGTTATTATTGACATGGATACTGAAGAAAAGGTAAAAGTGATATGCTTAGGCGATAGTGCTGTTGGAAAATCTAAGTAAGTTTAAGTAATATAGTATGTATATAATATAGTATGTATATAATATAGTATGTTCTTTTATTGCATTTTGCATATGTATATATACATAAGTAATAGTTTATTTTAATTCATAAAAACTGAAAATACACAGCGATTTCGATATATGTTCATTATATTTTTGAGTAATTTTGTTTTCAACAAAACGGATAAAATATCAAAAGTTAAATATAATGATAATAATAATGATAATAATAATAATAATAATAATAATAATAATAATAATAATAATAATAATAATAATAATAATAATAATAATAATAATAATAATAATAATAATAATAATGATAATAATTCAAATGCTGTTGAGACAGAGCACCAGGCAATACTGTTGAGATATAGCACCAGGCAATATCGGCGCTACTGCAGTTTCTCCCCCCCCCCCCCCCTATTTTTTATTGTTGATTATGATAGAGAATTTTATGCTGATTAAGATTCGTATAAAAACATAGGTCTGAAAATCAACAGAAAGTGCTCTAATTTGATGTTGAAGTTTAAAAAATTACACTAAAAAACGCTAATATTTGCCATTTTTTAAATATGTTTTACATCAAAGTTTACATTTTGAAATCGATCGTTAAGAAAATCTTTTTTTAATTAGGCGACCCGGTTTTTATTGTCATCAAAGTTAATTTATAATTGAATTAAATGTTTCAATGAATGTATTTTATATAACTTTAATTATTTTTTTAAAAATAAATTCAAATATTGCTTTTTAAATGTACATAAATCAACTGAAAAATAGGGATTGGCGCAATTAAATGTACACTCATCGACTGAAAAATAGGGATTGTGCAATTGAATGTACATAAATCGACTGACAAATAGGGATTGGCACAACGAAATGCACATACATCGACTGACAAATAGGGATTGGCGCGATTAAACGTACATGATTTGGGACAGGGTTTGGGTTTGGGCAAGAGATAAATGATGCGCTGAGCATTTTTTAACAGTTTTGCATTAAATTGTTGATAGAAACCAGGCTTTTTTAAAATCATCTCTGAAAAGAATTTTAATATAACCGAGAATTAAAAAAATGGCAAATATTAACGTTTTTTAGTGTAATTTTTTAAACTTCAAGATCGAATTAGAGCACTTTCTGTTGATTTTCAGACCTATGTTTTTATATGATTCTTAATCAGCATAAAATTCTCCATCATAATCAGCAATAAAAAAGAGGGGGGAGAAACTGCAGTAGCGCCGGCAATATCTATGACAGCCAACACAATATCTATCTAAAAATTTAACTGCAACCTGTTTTTCTTGTTCAATATTATCTGCAAGTCAATCAGCTTAAGTCTGGATTTAAACTCTTTGACTGAATAATTTACCAGAATTGGTAGACTCCACTACTGATTCTGGTAAATTATTCCATCCAAAGACAATCCTGTTTGTAAAAAAGTGTTGTCTACTTAATTTTTAACAAATTCTGAAGTACTACTACAATTATGCGGCCTAAAATAATTTTATTTTTCTGCTTTTTAGTAGAGGCTTTACTAACAATAGGGATATAATTGAAATAATAAAAGAAAAAAGATTCCTGCCCCATGCCAATCTCTCAGTCAATGTAGCAGCACTTCCTTGTAGCAGCAGGCTATAAGATAGTCAATGTAGCAGCACTCCTTTGCGAGTCAGGCAATAAGATAGTCGATGTAGCAAACCCCCTGACCCAACAAGAGCAAAAATATAATTATTTTGGGCCCGCGTAACTAACTTTACCAACTCTGATTTAACACGATATTTATAACCTCTAATATTGGATGCTAGACCTGGTGTATTGATTGAATGCATTTATATCTGGACATATCAATAGATTCAACCCCTTTATATAATTTATATTGTTGTATAAGGTCTTCTCTTAGTCTTCGTTTTTCTTAAGTTATTAAATCTAATATTTTTAGTCTTTGATTATATCTCAGATGTTTTAATTCAATTCAATTTAGTTACTCTTCTTTGAACTTTTTCTAGATTTTTGATATCTTTTTTATAATAGAGATTCCAAGCTTGAAACGCAAACTCCAAAATGAGGTCTAACAAACGTGCAATAAAACATTTTTATGAGGTACTTATGCTTATATCTAAAAGTAATATTTAGTATTGCAAGCATATTGTTTGCTTTACTGGCAGCATTTCTTACTTGTCTTTCCCATTTCAAATCCTTGGATATATAAATACCTAAATCTTTTTCAATTGTAGATTTTTCAATTTCTTTTAGTTCACTGTCATTTTTCATGAAATAAGAATATCTTTTATTGCTTGCTCCAAAATGCATTATTTTACAGTTCTCGAAATTCAAACCCAGTTTCCATCAACAGACCATTCTTAAAGTTTTTTTATTTAATTTTGAAATGATTTTGAATCAACCTCGGTATAAATAGGAGCAATTATTTTATTGTCATTGGCATATAAACAATATTTATTAAGAAGTCTGCTTGCTAATTCTTTTATGAATATCAAGAAAAGGAGTGGGCGAAGTATAGAACCCTGTGGGACTCCACTTAACACATCAACCCAATTTGCCTTGCATTTTCCTATCGCTACTTGTCGTTTCCTATTTGATAAGAATGATTCAATCCATTAAAGAGGCATACCAACAATACTGGAAGCATAAACCTTAGCACATATTTTTATGTGTGATACTCTATCAAATGCTTTTTGAAAGTCGGAATACAAAACGTCAATTTGAATACCGTATAATAATGTGCTTGTTAAAGTATCAAGAAATTCTAGTAAATTCGTTGTGCAGCTCTTACCTTTTAGAAAGCCATGCTGTTCCTTTGCTACTAGCTTGTTTGTTATTAAATGCTTGATTATATTATCAGCAACTATTCTTTCTAATATTTTGCATGGTATTGATGTTAGAGATACTGGTCTGTAATTTGTTGGTTTCAACTTACTCCCTTGTTTCAATATAGGCGTTATATTAGTCTTCTTTCAAATATCAAGTACAGTACCATCTTCTGTAGATTTTTTAAATATTAAATAAAGAAGGTATGAAATTGATGAACTGCATTGTTTTAGAACAAAAGGATGTATTAAATTAACTCCAATTGTTTTTGATATATCAAGAGCCTTTAATCTTCTTTCTATATCATTTTCTGTTATCTCAACAGCTTCTAATATCATGTTTATTTGATAGTTTTCAATATTTTTGTTTACATCTTTATCTACATATAGAGAATGGAAATATTTATTAAATATTCGATGTAATTTGGTTTTTTACCGATTTTTCTAATTAATATACATATAAAGTAACTTCGGACTTATTTTATAATTATTAACAAATTTTTTTCAATTTTTTTTTAATTTCTTTTCTGATTTCAATCTTTAAATGATTATATTGAGTTTTAATTGATTCATGTTCCCAATTTGTTGATTTATTTAAAAGCCACATTTTATTTTTTAACTTAACTTTTGATTTTAGAGCAGGAATCATCCACTTTTTTTTATTATTAATTGTTTTTGAGTTTTTAAATACTGGAATATATTCTTGTGACGCAATTGTAATGAAATAGAAACAATTCATACTGTTCATTGATTAATTTGTTGTTAAATTCCTTAACCCAATCAGCATTGTCAATATACTTTGAAAATAACTTGTAATTACCTTTATGATACAATTTTATAGGCTTCTTAAGTTCATTACTCAGATTAGATTCTTTTAGTATATACTTGCATTATAATAAGTGATGACCTTGCTTTGCATCACTTAAAGGGGATGAGTGAACTATAGAACAGACTTTTTCTTTATCATTAGTAATTAGAAAATCCATAATATTTTTTGATTCAAAGTTTGGTTTTTGGTAAGTTGGATCATAACGCATTGATATAAGAAGCAATTTTCAAGACAATCTATAAATTTATTAGCTTGAGAATCACTCTCAGTAGAAGAGAATGGAGAATTAATTTTGAACCAATCAATCGATCTTCGATTCCAGAATGGTATTGTTATAATCCTGAGTTGCTAATGGTGGTCGATATATACATCTATATACATAAACAAGTTGATATTTGTTCAATATCACTACAGTTTAGTTGCTTAATAGTATGTTTTGCTTAATTTATGTTGTTTTTGTGTAAGTAAAAACTCCACCTCCATGTTTCAGCCTATCTTTTCTAAAAATGTTATAATTGATCATGTTAACATCTGATCCAACGGTAAACCATGTTTCTACGACACAGATTACATCTGGTTCATAAATATGTGCCAGAAATCTTAACTTGTTAATTTTATTATTAAGAGATGTTGCGTTTGTAACTCTAGATTATTACTAACCTTTAATAAACTAGATTTTACTTTTTTGTCTTGATTAATTGAGCTATTTTCTGGTGAAATTCTACCATTATTGTACACATTTTTATATTCCATAAAAGTTAATGACTCTTGCCCAAGATATTGAGGTTGATTTTCTCTTGCTCTGCTTTAAAATTATTGCATTCAGTTGTCTAAACATTTACCATGATTAAATATAAACAATAACTTTAAGTTAACAAAACTTTTTTTTAGTTTTTATTTAATTTAACTTGTTTACAATTATTAAATAAAACACGTCTTCTCACTGTAAAGGCGGAAGTTATATAAAAGTTAATATAAAAAAAAATTTCTTTTATATTAAGTTTTACTCTAAAATGTTTTTTGTTATTTTTTTAAACAACTTCGCTTCCAACAAGGCTGCAAGCAACCACTAATTAGTGTTGGAAGTTACTGGAAGAGAAAAGATGAAGATTGTAGATTGCAAGATAACAATTGATAGATGACTTAAAAGATTGCAAATTATATGAATCAGGCAAATTCCAAAGAACTGATGTTAGAGGAAAAAAACTAGAGGAATAAGAGTTTTTTGAATTAATTTAAGAAAACTAGGAATACTTTGGTGGCCTAGTATCTGTTTACATCTTTTACACTGGCTACTCTAAAATAAAGTAGTTAAAAACTAGAAACTTTATTTTCTATATATAAGGGCTCTCATATTTAAACAAATAGTATTTTTCGCTCTTTCTAGTTTTTGAATTTTCATAATTATGAACTGTAGTGTAGCAGAGTTTTTGTTAGTAATTAAGTTTTACAAAATTGGAGCCTGCTCACATTCTGTTCTAGTAAGCAAAAAATAAATTAAAGGTATTCAGACCTTCTCAGGAGACGCCTGCGGTCGCACGCCTTGAATGACCACGCATATATATTTTTTTGTTGATAACTTGGCCACGATTTTTTTGCATATATTAAAAATGATGCATTTTAAAAACGCATTGAAAAACAAAACTAGTTTGTTATATTATTTCAATTTTCTTAATAATACTTTATTATTGTAGTTATTAATGAGAAAATAAAAACATTAAAATAAAATATATATGGGCAATTCCATTTTAACTTACGTTACACGGGCAACAACTTTATCAAATATTTGCTTATTTAAACTTTAAATTAAACTTTCAGCTATTTTGCATAAAAGTTGTTAGTCTAATGAATAAAATAAGCTAAAAAGTTTCGAGTTTGGCCAAAATAGAGCAAAATTATTACTGAAAATGCCACTTACACTTATGTTACACGGAAAACAAGGTAAAAAAATTGCTTCAATTTTTAGGTCTGATTTCTGTGAATCAATAAGTTTGAATAAGAAACTTTCACAAAATGCTGAGAATTCTATATCAATTTTAAAATTTTGTTAAAAAATCAGAGTTGATCGGCTAAGGAAAATAAACTCGTTTTTTTTATACTGTATATTTTACTTAAGTTACATCACTTACATTATCTAGCGAATTTTTTTAATTTATTATTAAGCGTTGTGTAACAAAAGAATTGCGTAAGTATTGAAAACATTTATTAAAAATAATTAAAAACGAAATTTTTTAAAAACTGGTGGCACTCTTCCAGAGTGATTTTTCATAACATTCATCAAAGTTATCAAACCGAAAACAGTTTATTCGCAAAACCAAGAGCATTATTATTACTTAATTGAGTAATAATATATTTATTATTACTTAATTGAGTAATAATATCTTTATTATTACTTAATTGAGTCATTGGTTTGTCGAAATTTTTACTTAACCTTTTTACGTTAATGCGTATTACTTTATTTTTATAAGGTTGAATTTTTAAAATGCTGCAAAGTATTCACATTTAAATCTTTTATTTACGTCTATATGACAACTGAAATAATAATACATAAACAAATAAAAAAACAATAAAATAAATGATTTTAATGCACATAAAAAAAAAAGTTTTTTTAATTCTCCTTATATAAAAAGTATTAGTTAAAATCTTGTCAAACCAACGGGAAGAAGTAATAATTATTAATGACGTAATTCATTTTGTAAATTAAAACTTAAGGAAAAAGCGCCAGAGTTTTATTAAATGACAAATTAAAAATAAAAAAAAGATATATATATGTATATTTATATATTATTTTTATCTTTTTATTTTGTCATTAATAAAAAATATATATGTGTATTATTGTTAGATTTTTATTTTCTCATAAATAATTATAATGATAAATTATTAATAATAAAAAAAAAAAAACACAATAAGATGACTAATTAGTTTAGTTTTTTCAGCGCGTTTTTAAAATGCGTCATTTTTAATATATGCAAAAAAATCGTGGCCAAGTTATCAACAAAAAATATATATATGCGTGGTCATTCAAGGGGTGCGACCGCACGCATCTCCTGAGAAGGTCTGGGTATTGAAAACAAGCAACACCATTTTTAATTACAAAAAGCATTAGTTTAAATAGCAACAACATGCCTTGTATTCTTTTGTGGTGAACAATTTTTCTTACAAGTTAATCTACCTTTTGTAATAGGTAAGTATCTAGTTGAATGTATTCATTATTTGACTATACTTGATGGCTAATCTATTCTTAGAATGCTTTCTTTGAGTCACAACTACAGAAGCTAATTGAGAGAGTTAGTGGGTCAGTAATGACCTACTAATTCCCTCTTTAGGTATACGTATTGTATAGAGCATATTAATTGAGTACTTCCATTTCAATGAATAACTGACCTTTACTATATCAAAAAGATTTTGAAGCATTGGGTTTACAGTTTGACAATAAATATCCAAATAAGCTATACTATTGGTTTAGTTTTTAGTACTGCCACTATCAATAAGAGTCTTTATAAATTTAATATGACAATTGCTAAATTAGTCAAAGCTGAAATGGAGGCAGTAATTTTGTTTAAATTAATTAAATATTCAGGATAGTCTAGTCAAGTAAGTAAAAGATTATATGTTTTCAAATGTTGATCGAGATTGTTATTGTTAGTTTAGAGGACTTACATAGCTTAGCAAGTGATGGACTTTTTCACATTTATAACAAATTGACTCCCTAGCAGGACAGACAACTTTGGTATAACTTTGATTTCTACAGTTCCAGCATGTTAAAACAAAATATGGGTTTAATTACTCTGATTTTTTGTTTGTTTTAGGTGCTCTCGCAGCTGCTCGCATGTGCTTAATTGGCGGGAGCAGACAATTATTATTTTTCAGATAAATAATATAGAAATAATTTACTTTCATTGTAAACTGACCTTAAAAACTAGAAAATATGAACTCACTCATCAGTTAGTTTATCTTAAGAAACGGTTGGGTGGGAGTTTTATTTTTAATTTCTATCAATAAAAACTAAAATTCCCACCCAACCGTTTTTTAAGAACTCCACCCATCACCCACACTTTTTTAATTAAATATGGACAAATATTCCCATGCATTAGAGACCTGAAGTACTGCAGTATTTAATGTTTTATATTGGTGAGAATACTGTACTGTTTTCTAGTAGTTGCTTGATACTTTGTAAATAAACATATGTTTAAAAAATGCATTTCTAGTATACTCATCTTAATATTTAATTGCAGATATATTTTTAAAGTTACATTTATTTGTTAAAACATTAAGAGCTTATAGAGATTTGTCAAAGCTTTATCCTTGCTGTTGTTTATGTGTTGCCAAAAGATGCTGTGCATAAACTTCATTTGATACCTATATGTAAATGAATTGTAATACTTGTACTAAAAATAACAACTTATTATAAATTAATTCTATTAAGTTTTTCTAATCTGAAAAAAAAAATTAATATTAAGGTAAAAAATAAACAAATTTGCAACATTCTCTCCAGCCATAAAATTTTGCCTTACTTATTAATTTTTGTTTGTATTTATTTGCAATTACTATTTATATTTGTGTCTAACTGATGATCTTGTGTACATGTACATATTCTTTGATATAAATACATAATTCTATTTTTTTCCCCACAGATTGGTTGAGAGATTTCTTATGGATGGATAGTATCTTTTTTTGCAACCTTGAATTTTAATTGTGATATATTTTTATCTATTTCAATTGTGATATATTTTTATTTATTTAATATGCAACCTGTTATATCAATAATGACATATATTTTGTGAAGTTTATATTATTTTTATGTTAGAATTATTTTTTAAATATCTTATTTTTTATGTAACACAACTTATAGAATATTTAATAAATATTTTTTATTTTTTTTTTAACTTAAAACCATCTTTTTCTATTTGACCAGTGATCTTTTATTGCTAACATTTAAACTTTAATTGTCTACACACATTGTTAATTTGTAGACATTTCTATATTTTCATCGTCATCATCATGGTGGCCTATAACTCAACCTAATTTTGAAATTTCATACATCGTAGATTATGATGTCTTTAATTTTCAACCAACAATTTTTGATTTTTATATTTACATCTATTTAAAATATGTACTACTAATTTTGCAACCTACTAAATCATTGACCTGCTGTATTTTTGACATACTGAATTTAACCTACTGAAAATTTAACCTACTGTATTTTCAATTTTATAACTACGTCTTTCTGGTATGCATTTTTTTATATTTTGTTGTTGATTTAAATACCAGCCAAATTTGATCAGCCTTGGTTGGCGCTGTGGTCGAGGCGCTGTCTTCATAACCAGGAGATATAAAGTTCGATGAAGCTTTGAAAACTTATTTATTGTTAATTTAAAAAAGTTAATTTATCTCAAATCAGTTGAAAATGAAAAAATAGGTTAAAAAGTAAATCAGTTAAAAATGAAAAAGACTATATTCGATTGAAAACAATTTAGTCCTCAGTAGGTTATCTGAAAATTAGTTTCACTTTTTAGTAGATATTCTTTTTGTAGAACAATTAGTAGGTCGAGATTTTTGTAGGTCTAACTATCTGACACAATCATCACCATCATTGTCACTAGCAGTATTATCATTATCATCATCATTAATATACTACTGTTGTTACATAATTCTATGCAAATTGTTTGTTGTAATAAGCTGCTATGTAAGATTTGCCTTTCAGGCAAAGGCAAGTAGAAAATTACTTTAATATGTAATTCTTTTTTGCCTAAGGGTTCTTTGTTGAAAATATATTCTGCTATTTTTTGTAGAAATTTTTAGGGATAAACAGATTTTTTCTTTCTCCCATCTTAGCATCCTTTCTTCACTTACTGCTAATAAACTTATTTACTATAGATGTAAACCATTGTTAAGTTTCCAAAGCTGATTTTATTTATCAGCTTTGAAGTATCAGAGTGTTAAAAAAACACAATGCACATGGTTGTTTTTTTTTTGTTTTTTCTGGGTTTTTTTTTTTTTTTGCACAAGGATGGTTTGTTGATTTTTTCTGATGTGCATTGCTATAGCTATGCTCTTTGATACCACTTTAAATTTACATTTTAAAAATTGTTTAGCTAATTAAGTTAAGTTAATTAAAATTGTTTTACCTAAGGTAATTATTATTCTTGTTTGAGTTTAATTATTATTCTTGTTTGAGTTTAATTTTTCAATTTAAAAAACAAATAAGCAATTTTTTAACAAAATTGTAGTAAACCACAGCAGTTATCAACATATGCTCTTACCTTGTTTAAATATTTCACAAAGATAGATGATCGTAATGTTCATGTTGGTAAGTTTGTTTTTTAATTATTGTCTTTTTTTTTAAATAACATCTAGCAGCAGTTTTTCTACTAGAGAGATCTCTCCTTCTGTAATTTATCTCTGTATTTGCTGATTATCTTCATTATGATTTGTTTCTTTTTCAGTTATCTTAACTTTAGCTATTTTCCAAGTTTTTTCTTAAAAAAAAAAGTCTTTTTCTATTCATACGTTTTTCAAATACTTCATTTAATTTGTTTAAGAGTTTATATTTCATTATCAATTTATCAAATTTCATTAATGTTATCACAAATTTTCATCGCTATTATCAGAAATAATCATATAGCTTATTATATATTTTCATGTAATTTTATAACTTCTTAAAATCTTTTTTCTTGTACAGAAATACTTTAAATTTTTTTATGGTGGCAACTCTATCAATATAACTTGAAAATCTGCTTCCTAATAATTTAAAAAGAAGCATGTAAAGAAAAGGTTATTTATTTGAGATATAATTTTATTGCTTTGTTGCTTAACTCTTTCCATTTATAGTGATTTTTCAAAATTTTACTTATAAAGAGAAAATAATTGTCAATTTATTTTATCAACTTGAATTTTATTCCGAAAATTTCTGCAATAAAATGATAAATCTTGTTTTGATTACATTATTAATTTGTTGTTTTTTTTTTGGTAAAATTAGCCTGCTAATGTTAGGAATAAATCCTCTCTCTCTATTTTTGCTACAAGCATCACATTTTGCTTTTAACTTTCAAATTTACTTACGATAATGTAATCTTGAATAAAACAAATATTTCTCTCCACACTGTCATTAGTTAATTGTATGTTTTTCACAAACTAAACAAGTTTTTTTAGTTCTCAAAATTATTCCAGCAGCCAGAATCTCACTTAACAATATCTCTTAATCCATATGTAAACATCTTCCTTGGAAGCACTAACAATGTCAAAAAGGATCCTATTTTATGGACCAGCAAGGTTAAGAATAATCAGGCTTCTGTTCAAATTAAAAAATATTGTGGATAAACCGCATTTGAATATTTTTGGCTTAACATTAATTTTTCTTTATCATTTCTATTTTTTTGATTTCAGGCAGATCTTTGTCTGGTAATGCAAGAACATATAGCTGTTTATTCAAGTATCAGCTGTAACAGCTTCTGCTTTTTGTAAAAAATATTTCAAAGACCTTCTTCTTAGAGCAAATAGAATTCTTCAACTTATAAGAGTCTTTTAATGCCTCTATGTTGCATCTTTGAGCAAATGCTGCTGTTTTACTCTTCAGGAACCATAGGGCATACATAACACTTATGAAGAAGATAACATTATTAAACTTTCCCTCCTTATCCACTATTAGTAATCTATATTGCCATATCAGCCATGAATCTTGCTTCATATATCACATATCAACCATGAGTCTTGCTTCATATATCATATATCAGCCATGAATACACTTGATCTAGACAATCATACTAATGAAGAATGTTAAAAAAGATATATAGGCCATGAATCTTGTTTCATATATCATATATTGGCCATGAATCTTGCTTCATATATCATATATCAACCATGAATCTTGCTTCATGTATCATATATCAACCATGAATCTTGCTTTATATATCATATATCAGCCATGAATACACTTGATCTAGACAATCATACTAATGAAGAATGTTAAAAATCTCTCTTGTCTGAACTTCTCTCTGTGTTTTCAATTATGTGAACACCTAATAGAATGTTTTCAGAATCTGGAGCATCTGCAGTGTATACATATAATGGCAGTCAATCATTTGTAACAGAGATGTTTTTCTGCTCACAAATTTGCGTCACAAAGTTTCTAATAAAATCTCCCTGTTTTTAAAGTTTACAAATCGGTGTCTATGAAGAGTTGGTATAGAGATATTAACATTTTCAATATTACCAATAACAACATACTGAATACTAGTTAACATTAAAATGAGCTCTATAACTTATATTGTATCTTGTTGCACATGATACAATATAACACACATACACACAAATGCAGATTTAGATTGGCAATGTACTTATATATTTTACCCAATTTTCATTTTTGAAATATCAAATTTAATTTAGAAACTTTTTTAGATAAGATAAAAATATATATCAGTGAGAATCCCAGAGTTTATTTTGGAGTACTTTTTTTTATATTTCACTTATGCTAGAGTTTATTTAGTTTAGTTCTACTTAATGCTAAGGAGGGATTTGAAATTTTAGGTACGAACGTATGAATAAAGTTTGTTTAATAAAAACTTTTTTCTTATCAAAATAAATGTAAAGCAAATGGTGTTCATTCAAAAGTTAACTTATTGAAAGAAAGCTTTCTTTAAGTAATTAAAGAAAGCTTATTTTTAATAAATTTAATTGTTTTCAAATTGAGTTTTACAAAAATTTTGATTGAAGATATTTTAAAATTATTTAAAATCTATTTTAAAAATTAGGCTAAATATATTAGTACCGCATCTAAAATTCAAGATTTTAAACATTTTGTTTTTATTAATATTGCATGTTTCTTCTTGAAGAGTTTTGGGATACTGCTGGTCAGGAAAGGTTCAGTAGTATGCATCCATCATACTACCATGCTTCACATGCATGTATACTAGTAAGCTTTTTTTATTTTTTTGTTTTTAAGTTTTGGTTTCATAGTTAGATAATGTAAAATAATATGTTTGCAAATGATTTATTGTCATCAAATGTGAATTTAATTTCAATTGATTCTTTTGAAAAAGATATAGTTTCAATAATTTTAGTCCATTCAACTTTTTGATTATATAAGGACCAATCAAAAGAAAGTTATGTACTCATGCTTCTCTACACTCTATGCTGATACTTTATAAAATATCTACTGAACTTGGTTTTTCAAATGATAATTATTATCTTCAGTAATTTGTGGTTGTCATCTTGATATGAAAGATGAAAATCTTTATTTTTTTCTGGATTTTATTTGCAGCTGTATTTACATTTCTTCATTATGTTCATATGTTCATAATCACCCTGTGAATAAACACTGCGATTAGCTAATGGCTAGTTAAAATAAACTAGCAGTTTTCATCAATTAAAATAAATATTTATTCTTGTGTCCTCCATTTGGTTTACAGGGGGGTTTAATTATCTTTCAAAAGTTAGTGAAAGATAATTAATGATGGAAACTAATCTTGCTATATTCTACAATTAAAACTGCTATTGGAGGAATTTTATAAAATAATGTTTAGTTGTAATGTAATAAACACATCAAAAAAAAGTTTTAAAAAATTATAGAGAATTTAACAGCAGAAGTATCATCTTTTAAAATTTTTTTCTACCATGATATAAAATATTAACTTGACTGTAAACAAAAAAAAATTACTTATTTGTCAATTTTGTTGATTAAAATTTCAAATACAACTTTAAATTTTTTCAATAGTTTAAAGTCAACTAACAAACCTTTTTGGAATTTTTTGATAGTAAACTGGTAAAAAAATAAGTAAATTTGAGGAAAAATTGTTTCTTGTCTATTAATAAACAATTGCAGTGTTAATTGTGTTTGATAAAATGTGGGCATTGCAACCAATGCCAATGACTTAGTTTTTATGAATTGACTTTTTATGAGTTTGTTACTGGAATTGTCTGCAGAAAAACTTTTAAAAAATATATATATTGTTTCATTTTGACCAAACTTCTGACTCTTCATTAAGTTTGTGATTTTTTTTGATAATATGGAAGCATCTCATTATGAAGATAATATGATGGCATTATGTAGATGACGTGATGACATTATGAAGATAACATGGTGGCATTATCAAGATGGCAAAATGTCATTATGAAGATGATGTGATGATATTATGAAGATGATGTGATGACATTTGAAGATGATGTGATGACATTATGAAGATGATGTGATGACATTATGAATACGGCGTGATGACATTATGAAGATATGTGATGACATTATGAAGGTGACTTGATGGCGTTATGAAAATGACATGATGATATTAAGAAGATGACATGATTACATTATGAAGATGACGTGATTACATTATGAAGATGATGTGATGACATTATGAAGATGATGTGATGATATTATGAAGATAGTATGATGACATTATGAAGAACATTTTACCTATTATGATATTATTTAAAGCAACTTTAAACAAATAACTTTATTTTTATTTTTAAGTAAAAACAAAACCAAACTTCATTTTATTCCAACAATTTTAATACTTTAGGATAAAAAAAAAATTTTATTTGTTGATTAAATAACATGTGTTACTAAAAATAACATGTGTTACTAAAAATAACATGTGTTACTAAAAATCTGTACAAAACTAAAAATTCTATAACTTTTTAATGGAATGATAAGTTTTATTGATTTAAAAAAAGTTTTTCATGCCATGGCGACGAGCAGTGTCCACTCTTGTAAATGTTGCAGCTGATAGCCAATGTACAAATAACTAAATAAAAAAAATTGTTATTAATACATATAAAAAGTTAAATTTGTAATTAAATAGGTGTGATTGCAAGTTAATTAATTTATTTTTTCATATTTTTAGCTCCTGCATTATCCAAACTTATTTATGTTGTATATTTTTTGTTTATTCAAGTTCATTCATTTTATTTAAGGTTTTCGATGTAACGCGCAAGACTACTTATAAGAATCTGTCTAATTGGTACAAAGAACTTCGAGCATATAGACCTGATATTCCTTGTATATTAGTTGCAAATAAAATAGATGGTAAAAATTTTAATCATTTTTAGTGTTACAAAATTTGTGCATTTTAAATAAGTGTAGTGTGTGTGTGCTAAGTTGCTACTCGCCTTAAAATGATGTCTTTACTAATAGTTTTATATTAATTTTTAATCTCACTGTGAAAAAAATGAAAAAAAAATAAATAAAAATGATGAAAGATGAAATATATGAAAGGTTATATAATGTTAATAATTTGTTTGATTTAATTAAATTTATATTTTTTCATTTTTTAATCTATATTTAGTTGATTATAATTCTACTAAAAGAAGTTTTAATTTTGGTAAAAAGTATCATCTTCCTTTCTATTTTGCTTCTGCATCTGACGGCACGAACGTTGTTAAAGTAAGCCATTATGAGATTTTTTAATTAAATTTAATTTAAAAAATATCTCTTAGTCCAAGTTTTACTCAAACCTTGAAATCTGCAGGTGTTTCGAGAAGCAATCAAAGCAGGACTTCATTATAAAGACAACTCAACAGATTTTGTTGATGAAGTGTTGAAAGAGCTTGAGGTAAATATTGATGGTAAAATTAAAATATTAAAATTTCAATAAAGTGTTAAAAAAACTTCAGGTAAATCTACACGGCTAAGTATTAAGAATAAAAAATTGGTTCAAACTGAACTCCTTTTTTTTTTGAAATTTTTGGTAATGAAAAATAGCAAATTTTTTAGTGTGTTAAATGATGTAAAAATAATTTGAAATAAGTCTGAAATATTAAATTTTATGAAAAGTTCACAACTTGGTTTTACCAGCATTTTCCGCATTTTGTAATCTAACTCGTTTTATTTTAGAATTTTGATGATATGTCTCTGCAAAATCCAGCAAATGGATTGTCAAACGGATCTGATCTGACAACATCAAATGTCGCGTCGTCTTCTAAAGATAAATAATTTTAAAAATGAAAAAAATATTATATATAAAAATTTAAAACATTTGTTGATTTAAAATCAATATTTGACGAAGTTAAATAATTAGAAAAACTTTTTAGGCTTTTTAGAACTGAAAACGAGTTATAAAGTTGTAAAATATGTGAAATTCTATACTTATCTTGCTATGTACAGTTTGCAAGATGAAACACTCAACAAATTATTAAATATTTTCTTTGTTAGATTATGAAACTTTTAAATTTTTTCTAATATAAATACAAATAGAAGTTCGTCTCTATCGTGTTTGTTATTCGATTATCGTGTTTTGAAATTCTTTAATCTAGTCTTCACTTCATTTTGAAACAAACAATTTACTGCAAGTTAAATATACATTTTAATAATCTTTAAAAATTAAAAAAATATCTAGATTAATTCTGTTTTTGTATGTAACATGTATGTAGCTTCCGTTTTATTTTTTGTGTTTTTCATTTTAAAAGATAACTTGTACAATACGTTTTTAGCATTCGTCTTCGATTGTTTATAAATAATGCAAAATGCGTTTCTTTTAAAAGATATTCGTTCGCAAAGTATTTTATGAAAAGCTATCACTTCCATATTGTAATGGCAACTTTTACAAATAGAGTATTTCATTTGGAGACGTAATAAAGTTAATATAAGTTTCGAAAGCAGATCAAAAACTGAAAAGCTTTGCAATTTTTTCTAGAAAAAGCATGACACACATCTCAGAAATTATATTAAAAGTAGTCACTTCAGTTTATTTTATATATTTGCATCTAATATGTTAGTTTCGGTTTTATTGGATTCAAAATGTTAACCTTGTTCCGAAATGGATGGAAGTTGGATAATTGGACCACCTATACCCATGGACCACCTTTTGGAGTGGTAGTTCTAGGTCATAATTTTCCTAGATTCGATGCGCTGCATGATATCATGAAATGTTAGGTAATTTTTCTTTTTTTACTTGTCGTATAACAATATTTATATGAGATAGATTGTGAAGAGAAAGTGAGGGCATAACTGCCCCCTTGACGTTTGGATTAATGTTATATGAAAATAAAAACGATGAGTTAAAATAACCACCTTATTAAGCTTTGAATTGCTACAATTATGAAATAAATAAAAAAATGTTATTAAACAAATAATATATGTTAATAAATAAATTAAAAAATGTTAACAAAACTTACAATTAGTTTAAAAATTGGTTGCGCTTCCATTGTGAAGCGCAACCATTCTCTCACAGAAATCCTTTGGAGTACACTTTTCGTATTATATTTTCTTTACCAGAGTCACTGCTCTGTTTATTTGTTATTTACAAATTTACTACACGTTTGCATATTGTGCAGGCATTCTTTGTTTCTGCAGTCTAAATTTCTCATTTGGAATACCTAAAATTTTGGTAAGGATTCCTTGTTTCAATAGTCTTATTAACTGTTTGAGCATTTTTTTAATTTTAATTTTTTTTTTTACACCTTTTAGAGCCATGTGCATTTCCAGATCAGCTTTACATGGTGAACTGAGTATAACTGTTTTTCCTTTTTGGCATTTTTTCGAGATTACTGAGTGTATGCGGTTATGCGTCTATATGGTTCTGGCCCAAGAGAAACAGTTTTTAGAAAAAACTACAGTTTTACTACTTATTTATTAGGTTATGTTGATATCTGAAATGGTTTTTACTTAATGAAATAGCGCTGATAACACTTAAGTAAAATACTAAAAACAAATATCGTTTAATCCACAAAAAAAGATCCTTGAAAAATATAAAGTGAATATAATATTTTTATCAAAATGAACAAATTTAAGCACATCTTTTCAGAAACGCAACAGGCATTTTTTTTTGGCGAAATGATGGAAACGGTTTTACTAAAGAATAGTATTTTTGTTGCCATATTAGATATTATTTTCCATAGAAAAAATGTTGAAAAATTATATATATATATATATATATATATATATATATATATATATATATATATATATATATATATAAATATATATATATATATATATATATATATATATATATATATATATATATATATATGTATATATATGTATATATATATATATATATATCAGTGGCGGAACTACTGGACGCAGGACCCTGCGTTGTGGGGGGGTCTACCAGCTATAGGGGGCCCTCATATAAAAAAAGTTATACTCTCAATAATATTTATACTATAAAACTCTTTTCCGCAAAAAAAACATTCTTTTGCGGGGAGGGGGGGGCCCAAATTTTGAAGTTCCGCCACTGATATATATATATATATATATATATATATATATATATATATATATATATATATATATATATATATAACGTGTAGCAATCCTTCATTAAGACTTGCTGTTCTCCATTAAAAGTTATCAAGGTGGTATAATAGATTAGTCAATGTAACTCGATGTAGTTGATGATGATGTAACTCGATGAAGTTATGTTTTTTTAAAGTTCTTACAAAATTTTTACGAAAAAAGTTAAAAAAAGTATTTTTAAACCTCATCAATATCGCTTATTTTTATAATATTTGTTATAAAAAAAAAATGTCGTCCCTCGAAAAAAACATGAATAGTATTAAAAAACAAAATCGGGAAAAAAACTTTTTCACAAATATTTTTCATAATATTGTTATAAAAAGTTCTATGCTTAGATTTCTTCTCGCTACCTCAATTTAATTGTTGCTTTTTTCATTAAAATGTAGAATTACCATAATATTTTCGATTTGCAATGAGTGAGCTCAACTTTCAAATAAATTTCTTAAAGTTTATTTATAACCAAATTATTTACATAATATAGTAAAAAATAGTAATAAAAAAAGGCAAGATATTTTCATAAAATGTAAAACTTTGACTTGTTTCTAATGTTTAATGCAAGTTGCAAACACAAACATTGAAAAGTATAAGTTAAAACTTTTTTTGCTGAGCAAAACAAACAAATACAAATGTTTTAAACATTTTGTGCAACCTTAAATATTCAAAGATTTCACTTTTATTCGCGAGTGAAAATATAAAGAAGAGCTATTATTATCAGATTTGTTGAAAAATTTGGAATATTTTGTACAGAATCTGGTGAAAAAAAAATTTCGTTTTGGTTTTTTATCGCCCTTGAAAAATTCCTTATATATATATATGACTAGCTATATTATATGACTAGTTACATTATATTAAACTAGGTATGTTATACCTTTTTGATTGTATGTTATAGAAACTAGAAGCTTAAATATTATTCGGCTTATTAGGCGACATATGATATAGACCATGGAAGTACAAAACAGATAGAAGTTCATAAAGCCGTACACATCAAAGCAATTTCAAATCGTTTTGGGATTATGCCCGAGTCGATGTAACACTAAACTCAAATGTCTCCTTAAACAACATCATGCAGCACGCATTATTTATTTTTAAAATTGCTTCACAAATGATATACCTCATCTAAAAAGCATGAGGGCATTTGATATTTATGAACTAAATATTTTCAAAATTACACAATTTATGTTCCAACATCAGTCAAAAAAACGCCGAAGGTTTTCGAAAATATTTTCCCTAAAACATTAAACCGATACAATACTCGATCTACCGGAAGATTTAAAAAACCTTTCCGTAAATCAAAACTTACGAGCTTTGCCATTTCCTATCGTCGCCCAATGCTATGGAGCCATTTTACAAACCTGAGTTGTAAACTTAAAGAAGCCAATACCTCTCAAAAATTTAAAAAAAACATAATCGAACTTATTGCATGATTTTTCTAACAATACACTTTTATTTCCCTTTTTATTACCAAAGGTTACTGATGATAAGATTTTATCTTTTTCAGGTTCTCCGTTCTCGTAACTACTATAAATAATGAAATGTGTTTGTATTTAATATTTTAAAATATTTTATCGGAAATTACCTTTAATTGTAAATGGTTGCTTGACAAAAAAAGAAAAAAAAAAAAAGAAACTAGTTTCACTGGACAAAAACAGCAAAAATTCACTGAAATTATTTTTATTAAAACATTAAAAAAATAATTATTTTAAGAATATGCTACATAGTTTTAACCTTTAGTTATTGTAATTATTCAACAAAATTTTTATAAAAACTCGGTAATTAAATAGAATCACTTTATTTTAAAAGCATATGTTAGTTTAAGCTTCTTTTCTAGCTTTAAATCATAACACGACATTTTTTGATAATTTGATTAAAAAAGGACAACTAAAACAATTTTTGAAAAAAATTTTTGAAAAACAATTTTTGAAAAACTTATAATACTCTATTCATTTAATATGAAGTTTAAGAAAAAGTTGGTATTTGCAGTTTCGTTGTCGCCATTTTTAATGTTTATACTTGAATATTATTAGCAAACCGTCAAAGTAGTATATTTTTAAATTATTACGAATATTTATTTGCGTCAACGTATTTTAAGCGTTTAAGTACATTCTTCTTTTTGTTTGCGAAACAAAAGGTATCAAGCATGGTCCCTAAGCATTTCAATGCATTTGAACTTCCTTCTGTTTTATACTTCCATGTTTAGACTTATATGAATGTAGTTAAATATAACTTTTAAAAAACGAAAAATTTTATTTATATAAATAAAATATTAAGCAATATATTTTACTTTATTCTGAAAAGCACCCTTTAAACTAAAATCGTTCTTCCTTGACTACCTTACTATTTTATGAAATTTTTTTAAAAATTAATGAAAATAATTTTCTAACAAACGAATTTTTTTTGAACAAAATGTTTAGCATTAATAACTGTGACAGTTTTGGATTTTTTTTTATTTCCAACTTAAAGAGATTCAAATTATTAAAATCATTAAAAGAATTTTTTTTTATACATATTTTCTACAATGTTTATTTTACGTTATACAATTTTCTGCAGGTAAATTTTTTTCTTCACACAAAAAAATGCAATTTTTATTCCGTTAATGCTGACGATAAAAGTCGCTTTATTTAAAACTCGTTTTATATTTTTAATGTTTTAAACTGATTATACTCTCAGTAGCTCAGTAGTTAAGAATGCCGTCCTAAATGCCAATTTCATAACTATTCCGTGAGTTCAAATCCGTT